GGAGTGGTGGCCGCGGCGGGGATAGCGGTTCAGCTTCACTGTTTTTCTTTCTGCGTGTTGGAAGAAGGGACGAAGCTGCGTCCCAGGGCTTATTTTCCCCTTGAGTGTTTTTGTTTTAAATTTATTTCGTTATGAACCCGGCACGCAACCTGTGCGTGGGGAGGGCGCTGCGTGCGGCGGGCTGCGGGCCCTGTGGGCGGCGCTGCTCTGCCTGGCCGCTGTGCGGCACTCTGTTCCTCTTCTCTTCTTTGTTTTTTTTGTTTGTCTGCATGTGCTGGCGGTGGACTGCTCGCCGTGGTGCGTGTAGGCGCCTAGTGGCCGCGATGGCGTTGGTTGGCGGCTATTCGCTGTGGCGCTGCGCGGGGTGCCGAGGCTGGTGGGGATGTGCCGGCTGGACGCCGTGCTCGGGCGCACCTTCGCCGCGCTGCGGCTTGGCCGTGAGTGGGTGATGTGCTGGATCTTGACGCCAGTGACTGTGACAGTAATGCCTCCGATTTTTTTTTGCACCACGTTTTATGACGCCTCCGTCCTTTTCGTTTCGTGTTTGTCGGGCCCGTGCGTTCCCCGCCCTGCGTGCCGGTGTTCTTGCGTCACTCTGCGCGAGGTGGCGCGTGCGTGGGGATGAGCGTGGCGGCAATGCCCTGCGATGAGCACTGCGGTGCGCTGGTGGAGGTGCTTGCGCGTCGTGTCAGCCGCGTTTATGGCCGCAGCTTGGAGCCGAGTGCGCCGGCTGCTTTTCTGGGGTCTGCTGCTTCGTAAACGGGATCGGTGCGTGCGGCGTGTGGGGGGCAGAGCGTTTGTTCCGTGTCGCAGCTTTGGGCCGCGGTGTGTTCCCGGTCTGCAACTCAATTGCGTCCCCGAGTGGGTGCGCTGCTCAGGCACCACAGCAGCTGTGTGCGGGCCCCGCCGGCGTGCGCCCGGCCGCTCGCTGCGAGGGACTGGGCGGAGGGTGCGTATCTCTCCTGTGTCCGCAGGGTCGGCTTCTGTGGGCTGAGGCCGGCCGCTCGTGTGGGACGCATGAATTATGTGTGGCCTTCCAGTGGCCCCAGTTTGCGTCGTGGGCGTCTTTGGACTGTGCCTCTCCTGACGGAGTCGTCTTTGCCGGAGTTCTGCGCAGCCGTCAATTACTTTGCGCGGCGTGAATCGAGATGCTCAGCCGCGGGCGTTGCGTTGGCTGCCCGCTTCGTCGTTGCCCGTTGCGTTTGATTGAGCGGTCGCATCGATATCTCTGCCTCTCTCTTCTCCTCTCCTCTCTGTGCTTCTTTGCCGCGGGCGCTGCGCGTTGGCTGCGCCGTGGCTTTTTGGGCGCGGCGAGGGGCCTGGTTGTTCCTTCAGTTTCCTTTTTCCTTCGTGTTTTGCGTTTGCCGCTTTCCGTCTGGCCGTACGTCGTGTTTGCCAAAGTGGTGTTTTTTGTTTGCTGCCGGACCCCGTGCCCCTTCCGCGCGCCCCATCGCTTTCGTCCTTCTTTTTTTTCTTTTTTCCCCCTGCTGCTGCGTGTTTGCGTTCGCTGCTCGCATTTCCATGGGCGCTTCTCCGAGCGCCGGCCGTTCCCCTCCTTCGCTCGGCGCCTCCGCCGTTGCCGCCGTCCGCGCGAGTGTTGTGCCGGTCTGTTTAATTGCGCCTCCTCTTTCCTTCCTGCCTTCCTTCTCACCCCGCCCCCTCGCGCTGCGCCGAAGAGGGGCGGAGTTTCTGCGGAGCGCGACGGTGGCCCCGCGCCCGCAGCGTGTCTTCCGGCGTTGCCCGCGCTATGGCCGCGGCGATGTGCGGCTGCCCCCGGGACGCACTTCTGTGGGAGCACGGCCGCCGCACTGCGGGCGACTCG